TGCTGAACCAGGCAGAGACTGCCTGACACTCTCCCCTTCAGCCTGACGACCACATTGGAAAGGGAAGAGTCCATGTGCTAAGACAAAAGGTTGCCCTTGAAGATAGTCACTTCCTCTCCCCGAGGTTCAGTTCAAGGATGCCATTTTTAAGACATAAATTAGGGATATTTTCACAACCAGAAGTTACTGAAGGAGAAGAAAACAAATGGGAATGGTTCAGATCCAATCTTAGTGTAAGCAGTTGTGCAGGTGAGAGTTTGGATATAGCAAAGATAAAGACATGGAGGATCATAATTGTTCTTGTGTTATTATTTTAAGCACATTATATTTGTCAATACTCTTGAGTTAGATAAAGGCTAGATCACATTTTATGACAAATTAATACAGAACACCATGAAATTCCAAAAGGTTCACATACTTTTTCTTGCAACTGTACTTTGGATATAAGCAGTAACAGAAGGGCAAGTACAAAAACAAGTAAATGATTGCAACCAAGTAAATCTAGGAAAAAAATATAGAGATCTGAAACACCTAGGGGAAATTACCTGATGAAAGCCAATGCATTTACTAGATTGCAGGGGCACACTTTGCTCTGTGGAACTGATAAAACAGCAGAAGAATGTAAATCAAGATCTTTGTTGCTATCACCTCCTCATTTCCCTCTGTTGTCTGACAGCCACACACACTGAAAGCTGAACTGGTAGAAAGCACAAAGTAATTCAGCATTTACAGATACTTTCTGAACAAGTTCTCCCTCACTTGGAATTTGCTCCAGTTTCTTCCATCACTACATAACTTGGCTCAGCTCCCCAGAAATGTCATTTAGTTTGGTAAGTGAGCCAGAAAACTGGGACTAGGGGTTGGATAGGCATTCCTTACCAGAGATTTCCAACACCACCCTGGGCACTTTGTTTGCAAGCTAATGCCTGGTGCATCTTTATGTACATTTAACCTTGAGTCTGAAGTGCCGTGTAAAGTTATATTGCCATGTCAGTAGGATAACTTGGAATAAAACCTACTGTCCTTCTTAGGAATATTTAAACCACCAAAATTATCTTAAAATATCCACTACAGAATGTAGTATATAGGCTTTTTTGTATATATACAATCTTCCTGCATTTGCTCCTAACTGTTTCCTAAATTTACACAGTGTTTTGTAAATGTGTTTTGACACAATACTTTGGCAGAAGTGACGGGACTTCCCACAGAAGTTTTAAAAAGACTTGGCCAGAATCATTTTAACTGTAGTCACTGACCAAGGTGAATTTTGAGGTAAGCTCTATTTATCAATGCCAAGCTAGATCAGCATGAAAAATAGAACAGAAAAAAGTAGGAGCTGCAAAGTAACATAATTTGCTCTCCCCACACTTGCAAAGTATTTGGGGTTTTTTTACATAACTGCTGTATACAGACTTCATCCTGCGAGCTTCCCTCTGCGAAGCTGTAGGAGCAAGACTTATTGCAAGAACTAAGCTGTGAATTTTTCTGAAGCTATGGAAAGATTTAAGCAGCTAGGCATACTGACCAGCTTTGGAAAAGGTTTCCTGAGGAGGTTGTAACTAGAGCGCAGTTCCTGATGGCCCTCAAATAAGCTAAAGCATTTGAGTAAAAACTTGAAGATAACGCATAGAAACCTCTACAGAGAGGCTTCTAAATTACCATAAACACTAGACTCCGATATGTCATAAAATTCCCAAGAATATCTCTTTAATTCTATGGTTGTGCTCATGGAAGAAGGGTTTAAATGGGGAGCTATAAGCAAAGCAAGAAATGAGCTCTCCAAAGGCAATAACAGGAACTTCCTAAATCAAGATGCCAAGGTTTTTTTAAATCTCCTTGCTAAAGCTAACCCTTGGGCTTTGGATTTGACACCTTCCTCAGCAACCTATAATTGTGTTGGATAATGCTCTAGGTCGTTTTCAGCAGAAGAAGAGCATGAAGTGTTTAGTTTAAGAGCCTGCTCTTTCAATCCTCCAAGCCCTGCTCTTCTCTTCTGCTCATGCTGCAGATGGTTTAAGGACTGCAGGGTACAAGGCAAAGCCAGTTTGCACTTTCCTCCCTCCCCATTGAGGGGGACCAAGACACTGCTCCTTCACTGTTTCCTACCAGCTTTTCCTATTCCTGAGAAGACTTTTAGCTCTGCCCTGAATTAATTTAAAGGCAGCTGCTGAGCCTCCTCAGCACCCATGAGCCTTCTCCTGCCTTGTCTCCCCTTCCTCAACAGCTTCTACTTATTAGTTACAGAGAGGGAGCTTGTTAACTTGCTTTTTGTAGTCTAACTTCTGCTAACCTAGTATGGGTTAGCAAGATTTATTAACATGTAGGACAACTCTATAGAACCATTTTACAGTTCTTCTAGTTTTCTTGGTTTTCTACTGTACAGCTCATTGATCAAGAACCAAATTCTAGTGAAAAACCAATAGCCGGAAATTTTTGTTACATTTTCAAATACAAAGGTGCCATTAATAACTTAATAATTAGACATGTAGGACAAGCTTTCAACATGGCTGCATGTTGAAAGAAAAGAAGAGTATGAATACTGAATAGAGTAAGAAAGAACTTTGACATCAGCTTCAGGAATAACAAGAAGTTCACAAAGCAGAGAAACCTCATCATTTCTCTTGCCTGTCCATAACTCCCTGTTCACATGAACCCACCTCTTCAATGTCAGAGACTCCAGCAAAAGCAATAAAACACGCACTCGGTTTTGTACAATGGATTGACCCAACTTTTGCGTCACGGATATAAATGCGTCTGATTTCTGTCATTCTAGTTCAACAGCTTAATGACCTCCAAAGGCAGAAACATCACTTTCTTCCTTTTCACACGTATCGTTCCATTTAGGTATCTCTGTACCTTCCCCCGGCACATCTCCCACCCACAGTTGCTGCTTTCTCTCGGTCCCTGTTTGCAGCCTCCCCACTCTCCCTGGGGTGTATTTCTGGCAGCTGCCTTCTCTCCCACACAGGTCAGCCCTCCTTGTACTAAGAAACAGTAAGCCAACCATGGAGACAGAAATGAGGCTACACTAAAAGAAAAAAGCCAGTTGCTGTTAAAAAACTCCCACCTCCACCACAAACTGATTTTAATGCCTTCACTTTAAGGGTGCAGGCATACAGAAACCAGCACTAAAAGACAGAGCTATTACAAAAAGTTAGTTTTCCTATTTAAAACTATATTAATACATACGTGCAAGATTCTAATCTGATTAAAAATCTTTCACCATAACCAGTGCTCTTAAATATTTAAGAGCACGACACTATTCCACAACACTGTAAAAACAAAACATATAAATGTGCTCTTAAAAATATTTTCCTCATTAAGCACATTTCCACAGTCTGAGCCCTTTCGAAAAGCTTGATTATGTGTTCATCTACAGAAAAGCACATGTTACATAGTCCTTCCTATTCTTTAGACAGCAGCCAAGTATTTGAGGACAGTATAGATAAGCATAGCTTAAAGAGTTTCCATCAGCTTCTCTCATTGTTATAGATAAAGAAAATGGGATCAAAGCGTACCAAAGGTGCAAACGCTCTGAATTTCTGCGCTCATTTTGCACCAGAGAGATAATTTAGGAAATGCTTTTGTAGCACCAGTCATTTCACATGTGCAAAGTCAAAGCTATTTCCTTCTGACTCGGCATCTCATTTGGAGGAAGCACGTTCACCTCCACCACAGCTCCCAGATCACTCAAACTTTGGGAACACAGACCCCTTGTCACATCACCTCACTGTACATCTGCTGTACAAACATCCACCTGGATTATTTTCCTTCTCTCTTTGTACTTTTTTTTTTTGACAGCTTCACAAATCTGACCACTTTTTATGTTGCAGTTTCCCCAACACAAATTAACTGGAAGGAACAAAATCAAATCTCGTTTTCGTGAGAAAGTTTCAACATGAAATTTTGAATTCTTCCCATGGTGCATAAGTTCAGATGTGCAGAGCTGACCTGCCTGGTTTCCACTTGTTTCATCATGTCCTGTGGACTCACAGTCGCACGAAATGGCCGCCTGAGAATGAGTCGGGGGTTTTGAAGTCTGCTCATCATATTCCTTAGTAGAAAGAAGCAGCATGGAGAAACAGGTACAGTTAGAGCTTTCAGCAGG